CAAAGAACATGAACAGACTCTTTACAAAAGAAGACATCAATGAGGCCAACAAACGTAGGAAAAATGCACATTATCACTGGTCATTAGAGAAATGCAAATCAAAACCACATTGAGATACCATCTTATGCCAGTTAGAATGGCGATCACTAAAAAATCTGGAGATAACAGATGCTGGAGAGGATGTGGAGAAATAGGAACACTTTTATACTGTTCGTGGGAGTGCAATTTAGTTCAACCATGGTGGAAATCAGTGTAGTGATTCCTGAAGGATCTAGAAAGAGAATTCCATTGGACCCAGCAATCCCATTACTGGGTATATATCCAAAGGATTACAAATCATTCTGTTATAAAGACATATGTGATATAGGTGAGGGGGAGGAAGGAAGCAAATCACACTGCCACGTGTATACCTATGCAACAATCTTGCATGTTCTTCAGATGTACCCGCAAACCTAAAATGCAATTAAAAAAAAAAGACATATGCACACCTATGTTCATTGCAGCACTGTTTACAATAGCAAAGACCTAGAACCAACACAAATGTCCATCAGTGATAGACTGGAAAAGGAAAATGTGGCACATAACCCCATGGAATACCATGCAGCCATAAAAAATGATGAGTTTGTATCCTTTGTAGGGACATGGATGAATCTAGAAACCATCATTCTCAGCAAACCGTCACAAGAACAGAAAATTGAATACCACATGTTCTCACTCATAGGCGGATGTTGAACAATAGAACACATGGACACAGGGAGGGGAGCATCACATACTGGGGTCTGCTGCGGGTGACTAGGGGAGGGACAGTGGGAGGTGGGGAAGTTGTGAAGGGTTAACACCAGGAGAAATGCCAGATATGTGTGACAGGGGGATGGAGGCAGCAAACCACATTGCCATGTATGTACCTATGCAACAATCCTGTGTGATCTGCCCATGTACCCTAGAATCTAAAGTACAAATATATATATATATATATATATATATATATATATATATAAATAAAATTTAAAAATAAAACACTTCTTCTCACATTAGGTTCTGTTTAACATTTTCCCAATTTTTCATCCCCAAACTACAAAACAGATCATCATGTCCTCCTTACTGCTAAATTCACTTATCACTGCATTCATATTAAATTTCCTTGAGGAATAGCTCCAAAGGGAAAAAAAAAAAAAAAAAAAAAAAGAGGCCATGAGGTGGCTGACGCCTGTAATCCCAGCACTTTGGGAGGCCAAGGTGGGAGAATCACAAGGTCAAGAGATCGAAACTATCCTGGCCAACACGGTGAAACCTTGTCTCTACTAAAATCCAAAAATTAGCTGGGTGTGGTGGCGCACACCTGTAGTCCCAGCTACTCGGGAGGCTGAGGCAGGAGAAATGCTTGAACCTTGGATGTGGAGGTTGCAATGATCTGAGATTGCACCACTGTGCACTCCAGCCTGGCCTCTGTCTAAAAAAAAAAAAAAACGCAATGTTTTTTCCTACCCTGTGGCTTATCTATTCAATTTTTTAATTTTTTTTTTTTCCCACCACTCTTTTTTTTTTTTACTTTAAGTTCTGGGATACATGTGCAAAATGTGCAGGTTTCCTTTATTATTATTATTATTATTATTATACTTTAAGTTCTGGGGTACCTGTGCAGATCATGAAGGTTTGTTACATAGGTATACACGTGCCATGGTGGTAGTTTGCTTCATCCATTGCCCTGTTATCTACATTAGGTATTTCTCCTAATGCTATCCTTCCCCAATCCTCCCATCCCCTACTATTCCTCCTCTAGCCCCCGACCCTCCAGGCCCTGGTATGTGATGTTCCCTTCTCTGTGTCTGTGTGTTCTCATTATTCAACACCAACTTATGAGTGAGAACATGCAGTGTTTGGTTTTCTGTTCCTGTGTCAGTTTGCCGAGAATGATGGTTTCCAGTGTCATCCATGTCCCTGCAGAGGACATGAACTCATCATTTTATATGGCTGCATAGTATTTCATTGTGTATATGTTCCACATTTTCTTCATCCATTCTATCATTGATGAGCATTTGGGTTGGTGCCAAGTCTTTGCTATTGTGACCTGTGCCGCAATAAATATACGTGTCCATGTGTCTTTATAATAGAATGATTTATAATCCTTTGGGTATATACCCAGTAATGGGATTGCTAGGTCAAATGGTATTTCTAGTTCCAGATCCTTGAGGAATTGCCACACTATCTTCCACAATGGCTGAATTAATTTACACTCCCACCAATTGTGTAAAAGCATTCCTATTTCTCCACATCCTTTCCAGCATCTGTTGTCTCTTGATTTATTAATGATCGCCATTCTAACTGGTGTGAGGTGGTATCTCAATGTGGATTTGATTTGCATTTCTCTAATGACCAGTAATGATGAGCTTTTTTGTTTCATGTGTGTTGGCTGCATAAATGTCTTTTTTTGAAAGTGTCTGTTCATATCCTTTGCCTACTTTTTATGGGGATGTTTGTTTTTTACCTGTAAATTTGTTTAAGTTCTCTGTAGATTCTGGATATTAACCTTTTGTCAGGAGGGTAGATTGTAAAAATTTTTTCCCATTTATTTGGTTGCTGGTTCACTGTATTAATAGTTTTTGCTGTGTAGAAGCTCTTAAGTTTGATTAAATCCCATTTGTCTACTTTGGCTTTTGTTGCACAGGTATACATGTGCCATGGTGATTTGCTGCAGCCATCAACCCATCATTAAGGTTTTAAGTCCTGCATGCATTAGGTGTTTGTTCTAATGTTCTCCCTCCTCTTGCACTCCATACCCCGACAGGCTCCTATGTGTGATGTTCCCCTCCCTGTGTTCATGTGTTCTCATTTTTCGACTCTCACTTATGACTAGGAACATGTAGTATTTGGTTTTCTGTTCCTGTGTCAGTTTGCTGAGAATGATGGTTTCCAGCTTCATCCATGTTCCTGCAAAGAACATAAACTCATCCATTTTTATGGCTACATTGTATTCCAGGGTGAATATGTGCCACATTTTCTTTAACCAATGTATCATTGCTGGGCGTTTGGGTTGATTCCAAGTCTTTGCTGTTGTAAATAGTACTGCAATAAACATGTGCATGTGTCTCTATAGTAGAATGAATTACAGTCCTTTGGATATATATCCAGTAAAAGGATTGCTGGGTCAAATGGTATATCTGGTTCTAGATCCTTGAGGAGTTGCTATACTGTCTTCCACAATGGTTGAACTAATTTATACTGCTACCAACAGTGTAAAAGCATTTCTGTTTCTTCACAGCCTCACCAACATCTGTTGTTTCCTGACTTTTTAATAATTGCTATTCGAACTGAGGTGAGATGGTACTATCATTAGATAACAGGAAATCTACAGAATGGGGAAAAAATTTTGCAATCTACTCACCTCTCAAAGGTCTAATATCTAGAATCTACAAATATCATAAAAAAACAAATTTACAAGAAAGAAAATCACCATCAAAAATGGGCTAAAAATATAAGTAGACATATCTCAAAAGAAGACATTTATGAAGCCAAAAAATGTATGGAAAAAAAAGCTCATCCTCACTGATCATTAGGGATTTTTCTAGTGCTCTTTGCTTCCTAATTAAGTAATCTCTTCCTAGCCTAGATTCACAAAAGGTTTTTTTTCAATTTTTGCTTCTTAGAATCTTTATAATTTTAGTTATCACATATGCTTCTATGATCAATCTCAAAATAAGGTTTGCTTACGTGTGAAAGAGGTCATAAGGTTTATTTTTATTTTTTGGTTTGCTTTTGTTTTGTTTGATTCTTTTTCATATAGATATTCAATTGTTTCAGTACCATTTATTGAAAACACTACTTTTCAAATTTGGTTGCTTTGGCACTTTTCTGGAAAATAAATTGACCATCTATGTGTAGTCTTTTTGGGCATTATACTATCTCATATCTCTTTACCTATATGTCCAATAATCTGTACTCCAGTACAAAATTGAATAAATGTGGTAAGAGCAGACATCTTTCATTTTATCCTGAACTTGGGGAAAATACTGAGTTTTATACCATTAACTGTGGCATATTTCTTACTGTGGGACTATGGCAAGAAAAAAAAGAAAATCTCTCATATAGAAAGCAATTTTACTTAGACTTACTTATCATTGTTCTTCATGTTCCCAACATAGTTTTTGGTGCATTCTATGCTCTTTATATTTTTAATTTACTCAGTGGATTGTAGCACAAATTATTACCTCAGTGGTTCAGTTTGGTAATGTTCCCTTTAGTAGCTAACAAATACTTTCATCACTGCTCTTCGTTCACTTGTTCTTATTCATGTTTCAAGATGATTAAACAAATTGTATGGACCCTCAGAATTTTTTATTTAGACAAAGTGTTTGTGTATATGTTTTATAAATACTATTTTTAAATTTTTATATGCTAACAGCTTTTATTTACTAATCCTGAAATAACTCTTTAACATAGAGAATGTAGATTGAAGAATAATTGAGTCCCTTTATTCCTGATTAGGAAAGTGGTAATAGAAAGTTATAGGTACCAGACAATGCTTAACAAACTTGAATATCAAATTTTATTTTAGAAGTTGATTTAAAACATCAATTTTAAAATATTGATTGCAAACTTTTACAATTTTGATAGTCTGTAGACTTAATGTTAAAAATCATCTTTAATGATCTAATCTAGAATGAGAGAAAAAGCCTTTAGAAATTCTGTAAACCAGTGTGATTCTACCTAATAAGTGATTTATTTTATTATATATGTAAAATGATATTTTCAATGTACTTTTGACTTTGACATTTCTTTAGGAAGAGATGTAGCCTTTAAAATGAGTGTTAGATTCGTTATCTGAAATGGTTTGTGGTGTGTGCGTGTGCGTGTGTGTGTGTGTGGGTGTGTGTGTATGTTTATGGCATGACTTTCTTCTCCATGGTAAAGTTTCAAAAACCTGTAACCCATCAATTATTCTTGGTGCAAATAATCACTTTACTGTACCTTAAAAAATACATTCTATTGATTTTGTTTCCTAGTTCAATTTTGTGGGGAAATTGCTTGGACCAAGAGGAAACTCCTTGAAGAGGCTACAGGAAGAAACAGGTGCTAAAATGTCTATCCTGGGCAAAGGATCAATGAGAGATAAAGCAAAGGTACTGAACTTTGAATTTGACATTTAACACATACAGGAGATTACCTATAACACTGATGGCTAAATTTACAAGCACGCCTGAACAGCTACTTCGCCATTTGCTATGATTTTCATCTCCTGGAGTCACTCTGTGTCACTTTCTGCTAGCTCCTCTGTCTTCCTCAAAAGCAATTATTGCCTCCCCTTCGTTTTCTTTTCAGGATGTATATTCTGGTATTTTCATTTTCTTTAGTCCTTTGTGTAGGTTGCTTTCAAATCTTTTCACTTTTTCTGTGTCCTCTGCAGGATGTTTCTATAAGTCTGTGTTCATTTTCTTTAATTCCCTCGCTGTTTCCTTTTTCTTTCTTCAGTCATATCACCTAATCTCATCCATTGTATCATTCTCTCATTTTCTCTCTGCTCTATTCCACTTTGATCCTCTTACCTGAAGCAATTTCAAATGCTTATCTGCAAATCTAAGAGAATCCTGCTTATTTCTTGAAATGTTTCAATGTTATTAAACAACTCACCTGATCCCCAAAAGAACAATAAGCTAAAAATATATCAAATTTGATGTTTGAAACAATTTATTTCACATATGAACCACATTATTTCTTATCGTATAAAGTGTTAGCAGTTTTCTCTCTGTTAGAATTCAGTGTTTGGGAGAAATAACAATTTGTAGAGATTTATTCAAAAAGGATCTTTGAAAATTCACTGTGAAAGGCTGGATATGTTTGGTAGTATCATTGACTAGGCCATACTGTTAAAATTTGGTAATGTTATTATGGAGAATGAAATGTTTAATTATTTATTTCTGACCATGAGTATCCTTAGAAAATTACTCAGGAGTTCTGTATTTGTGTTAATGAAACATATTAATTGAGGAAATTTATAGTGTGAAATGTCACTAAACTGGTGAATATATCATACATAAAATATCTTTACTGTGATGAGTCTATATTTGGAATTTGAGCAAGCACCTCTCTTTGGATGCTTTCTTAGAATGGTTCAATAGTTAACTGTAGAAAGTCACAGAAGGAATGATTTTTACTAGCCTTTTCTTTGGGATGACTTTTGATCATTCTATACTGTGTATGATTTCAGCAACAACTACATTCTTGCCAATCTTCCTGCCTCTAGGTTCTCTGACTACATTGAAAATACATATTACAAGTATTTAAGAGATGAGAACACCAGCATCTAGACACTGCTGGTGTTTTTCTCCCTGCCATAAATTTAGATTTTCTTTATGTAGGAGGAGAAAATGACACATAATAATCTATGCCTGTACTTTCATGTATTCTTTAATATTATTTTCGTTATGAATTTCCCAAATGCTTCATACTGTTATAAACTACATACACTGTGTGTTTCTATGCTTTCACACATTCTTTAAGATATAAGTCTGGTATTGTCTCCCCAGGAGGGCTTCCCTGAACTCCTATAATAGGCTATGTCCTCTTTTGTCACTTAACATACTTTACTGTATCTGTTTATCTCCAGGATGGGGAACTGTTCTAGTTAGCTTTGCATATGTAGAATCTTCCTGTAGTATTTCTATATCTTTTGAAACAGATGGATGCATATTTTTTATTCTCAAATATTTTGACATTTTTCCTGTTCATAAAGTTTTAAACTAGGTTTCTTTTTCCCTGTAAGGATGTTAGGTACCAGCAAAAGGATTAGAAAACCCAATAGGAAACAAATTTGCTTCTATTAAGTTTCCATTAGGTTTAGTTTACTCATATTACCTGTTACTTACAATTCAGTCTCTTATTACTCTTTTCGTGATCCATCATGTTTGGCTATGATTTGAGTGTTTTCACTTTTTACCAAGTTAAACAAAATAAACATATTTAATAATACTGTATTGAATTACAAAATATTTTTTAGAATCTAGATAAGGCCTTTTCTTTCATTCATTTTATTTTTGGCCCTACTTGATGGCTTCTAAATGATAAGGTCTTAACTTGCTAGAGTATTGGACACCTAGCTGAAATAAAACCACAGGCATGGGTATGAAAAATTTACCGTAGGCCAGGTGCAGTTGTTCACACCTGCAGACCCAGCACTTTGGGAGGCTGAGGCGGGTGAATCATGAGGTCAAGAGATCAAGACCATCCTGGCCAACGTGGTGGAACCCCGTCTCTACTAAAAATACAAAAAATTAGCCGGATATGGTGGCAAATGCCTTTAATCCCAGCTACTTGGGAGGCTGAGACAGGAGAATCACTTGAACCCAGAAGGCGGAGGATGCCTTGAGCCGAGAATGCACCATTGCACTCCAGCCTGGGCAACAAGAGCAAAAATCCATCTCAAAAAAAA